GACCCGCCAGCCAGAGGTCGGGCTCATGCCCGCGGTTCTAGCCCTGCCACACTCGGTTATTCAGTATTTACTGTGCCAGCTCTGGATGGTCTCGTTCAACGGGGCTGGTCCCTCTATGAACCCTGGTGAGCTCTGGGCCTCAGCAACAGCTTGTGGCCATGAGTTCCACAGGCTAACCAAGAGCCACATGAAACACTGGTTACTTTTTCCAATTTTCCTGCTGAGTTGCACTGACTGTCCCCTCCACATCCATGCGCCAAGAGACAGGGAACACGGGGCTCTGCTGCCCCCTCAGCCACCCCCGTACCTGTCTGCTCTCGAAGGGAACAACCCCCCAGCCTGGTCAGTCCCTGAACGCCCTCATCAGCCATCTCAGCACCGCTCTGTGCTGCCCTGCAGGAGCCGGGCGCCGGCACTGCGCAGCACATCCAGATGGGCCGCACCTCGTCTACAGGGCAGCATTATTCTCCTGCCTGTCCTGCAGCTCGGCGGCTCGTTTGCTGCACATTGTGTCGAGGTCAGACTGAGCTGCCCAGCGACGCTGGGTGTGTTTGCTGGGAGGATACAGACGCTCCCCGGCTTAGGCAAGCGTTACGTTCCGGAACACCTTGCGTAACTCGAATTTTGCATAAGTCGGAAACGTATACCCGACCATTACGCAAAAAAAAAACCCAAACCCTCCTATTTCTAGCTTACGGAACTTTTCCCATGAATGCGGATTTGGTAAGTCGGGTTTGTGTAACCGGGGGGCGTCTGCACTGTTAAGTTAGGCCCTGAGAAGGCACATGACGAGTTCAGATTAAACCCTCCAATCTGTGTTACTTCATATTAGTCAACCCTGAATCCCAGCTGTGCTTGCCAGCATGCTGCCTTTTCCCCTCCATCAGTCCCTCAAATTCCTCACGGGCTCCTCTGGGCGCAGCTCCCCTCAATACCTTTGTGCCATCTGGAGATTCACACGTCCCTTTTCCAGCTTGTTAATAAATATCTGAAACCCCAGTCTCCCCCTGGGGCCCTGCTGTGACCCCTCTGCTCTGATGGAAACAGACCATCGATCCCTGCTCTGTTCTGAGCCTTCTGCTCCAGGGCAGTGCTTCGCCCTCACCCCACAGCGACTGGTTCCTTACCAGGCTCCTGTGAGAGGCTTTGCCAAGGGCATTCGAATGGCAGCTGCTGGCTGACGACCAGGTGCAGAGACGCCGAAAGATCTTGCTCTGCAGCTGCCAAGCCCCTCTTGGAGTGAGCTCCAGGGGTTTCATTGTTCGACTGCCGGCACCTTCCCTGGTGCAGGGCTCAGGCTCATGGCCTGCGGGCACCCAGCCCACCCAGCGCCGGTTACAGCGAGTCACAACCTGGCTGATTTGGGGGGCTTTGCTGGCAGCTCAACTGCTGCATGAAACTGCTCCCGGCTCCTGGATGGGCCTTCTGGGCCCAGCCACTGGCTGGCTGCCTTGTACGTTAGCCTTTGACTCGTCAGCCCCGCTCCAGCCCTGGGTGCCAGCACCACCCCCTTCCCTGCAGGCCCCTGCCCCCTCCCTGGGGCACAGAGAAACCATTCGGCTTCTCAACGTCCATCTCCTTAGCACCTCCACCCCACTGACCCTGCCCCCACTGACCCTGCTCCCAGCCTGCCAGGCGGCCCCGCTGACCCTGCACCCGCTGACCCTGCTCCCAGCCTGCCAGGCGGCCCCGCTGACCCTGCACCCGCTGACCCTGCTCCCAGCCTGCCAGGCGGCCCCGCTGACCCTGCACCCGCTGACCCTGCCCCCAGCCTGCCGGGTGGCCCCGCTGACCCTGCTCCCAGCCAGCCAGGCAGTCCTGCTGACCTGCCCCTACCCATGGCCTGCAGGCAGCCTCTCCCATCCCCTGCCTGACCCCCCACCCACTCCCGCCCCTTGCCCGCCCAGCACTCACCAGCTCCCGCAGGCCATACTGGCTCTCCACCTTGGCTCGCAGCTGCACGAAGCACTGCTCCATGCGCTCGTGGAAGGGCCTGAGGTCCTCAGTCACCTTCCTGCCGTGGATCCGGATCCCCTCTGCCAAGAGCGGAATCTGCCGGGAAACAGGCCCAGTGCCAGCGCCCGCAGGACGGACACGGGCCTTGGCTCACACAACCCAGGCGCTACAGGGACAAGGGTCCCTGGGTGGAGGCCTGGGGAGCAACGGGGGCAGGGCAGCACCCACATGGGCCTGGCAGGGGCTGAGGGGTCAGTGCCTGGTGCCAGAATGGGCAGCAGCCTGCCCAGGGCAAAGGGCTCAGGAGAAGATCCCCCCGTTTGGGGAACTCTAAGGATCCTCCCATGTTGTGCCTGGAGCAGCTACTGAGGGGGCTCCTGGCTGCAGGAGGCTGGGCAGAAACACCCCCAGGAAGCCCTGGGATGCTGGGGAGCCCTGCAGCAAGAGGGGAGGTACCTGCCAGGCGATCAGATCCTGCAGCTTCTCAATACTGGCCTGGTCCTCGGGGTGCTCCGTCAGATAGGCCTCCTGGAAAAACGCCTGCAACAACAAACCCGCCTCAGCTCCTACCTTGTCCTGGCTCAGCACATGGCCTCAGCCCCCGGCAGGGTGGAGCTGAGCATGGAGCAGAGACACATCTCACTCCCGACCCACAGCCCCTGGCTGTGTAAGCCCTGGGCTCCCTCCTCTGCTCTCTGTCCCCCAGCTCTGCTGGTGCCCTCACTCCCGATCCACAGCCCCTGCTACTCCCAAGCTCTGCCGGTGCCCTCACTCCCAACCCACAGCCCCCAGCTATCCATAAAAAGTATGGGCAGGATGAATGGACTATAAGGTGGATAGAAAGCTGGCTAGATCGTCGGGCTCAACGGGTAGTGATCAATGGCTCCATGTCTAGTTGGCAGCCGGTTTCAAGCAG